TCATGCTGAGAACATTGTCATCGATTTCACGACAAGTAATCTTCGGTTTCATAGCATTGTCGTCGGTTTCATAACATTGTCATCGATTAGTTGTGTGATTCGCGGACGGCAGTGGCGTTGCACAAACACCACGTGGACTAACTTGTGCAAAAAAAACTGCGCAAGTCTACTTGAGACAGGACGCATGAAAGTTGAGGACAGCCCGGGACAAAAACGGCGACGGATTTTGCGCTGGCGCTTGGGTTTCGGCAGATTCGGCTTTAAAAATGAAAGGATCCGGGACCCCCAAAAAAGATCATCGAACAAGCAAAAGTACTGAGAGGGTTGCACTTTTGAATCAAAATTTGCACGACTAAACGTGCGATTCCACACCCGGCGGGATGTTTTTGGACACCCCTTAACCTCTAAGAGGCTATTTATGGACACCTCTTGGAAAATCCTGGTGGTAACACATAGTTTTACCAAAGCATGGATGATTGATGTTTTATTCATGCTTCGGCCGCATGCGTGAAGTTGCCCAGCTGTGGTCATGACGTCGACTCCTTTCAGGGTGAAGGAAACCTTGATTTCATGAAATCTCAGAGGTTTGTTGGAAGAATGTATCAAAATGCATCTCGTTGATTTGACGTTGCTGTTTGTGACAGAAATGATGAATCCAGCTCCAGCTAGTGTGAGATGGCAAGAATTGGGTAGGGGTCCTTTGGATGTGCGCGTGAAGGATGTGATTCAGCAGCGAATCACACCACAGCCACAGCCATTCTACCACACAACATGATTTTTCCGTGCCAAATGGCACTACCTGTCCGTCCATACTTTCAAGATCTTGGAAGGCTTAGATCCCAGGTCGGCAACCAGCAACCCCATTACAAAACCCACGCTCCAAACAATTTGAGAGAGGGTTTTCTTTGGTGTCGCACAACGCCGCGCTTTTCTTCGCAAGATTTGAAAAGAAGCAATTCAGAAGCAGCTCCACGTTCGCGGAGCCGGCGACTATTCGGCAAACGCGCAGCAAAAATGGCCGAATTGAGCGGCAGTCAGGAGAGGGAGACACACATGGCTTCGGTTTCTTTCAGCAAAGGTGTTTTCACATAGACCTGATTTGGTATCGACCCGATCTGGGCCCTGCGGGCCTGCGGGTCATATTATTCCCACAGTTGTTGGTCGGATCGTTTGCTTCAATGTCAAACAGCCATTTCAGGCACAACATAGATTTAATACAATTTAGTTTACTTCTCAAAAGGATAACTGGATAGCATGTTTTTGAATAGGTCCCTGTGTGTTCGTCTTGTTAAAGACAAAGAGTTGATGAAGTGGCACCACCAAGTCACCGTGTGGCCTGAAGTACACCAGCCGGGGCTTCCATGTTCCTTGCACTCCTCCAGCTTGTGCAAAGGCTCATCGCCGAAAGTCACTGAGGACGTCGTTTCGCCAGGAACTGCGTGCACCTGCAGAAGTGCCGAGACGAAGGGACTCATCCAGTATATATACTACGTAGGACATGTGGGTGTAGGTGTAGTTTGCTTTGCTTTTTTTCTTTTTCTGGAGACTATAGCAGTCCATTTCTGTTCTTCCAGGGGTCACTCATGTCACATGTCCCAAGAGCGGAGTTGGCTCCCAGCCATGAGAGGGATCCTCAGCCAGAGATTCCAACTTAAGTTGAGCCCATGGCATGAGATGTTCGATGGGATCCGATCGCTCACCCGAAAACCAACTGGCCCGGACAGACGAGCACCTGCAACCAATAGGATCTGGCCGACAACTTCCCATCGTAGCTCCCCTTGCTTGCACCAATGCAGAACCTGCGCTTGAGCATGGCATTGCGCATGCGAGTGTGGTAAAGAATGGTGCAGGGTGGTCTTCCATTGGGGCTTCGTTGGGTAAGATGGTGCAAGGGTGGTGAGAGTTGGGTTTCGTGGGCATCAGTCGTTTAGTTTATTCACATTTTAGTGGTTCATGCAATGTTGTTTAAACAGGAAAAACCTCTACGACATGTTTCCAACAAATACTCCAAACACATGTGAGCGACCTGAACGACGTGTTAACATGGATTGTCCAAATGTCTTCCTTCAACCTGGGCCTCACACGATGGGTGTGAGGCCTATGGAGACCCCCTGGCCCGGTCGACTGGGTCGATTGGATTCCGAACCTCCGAACCTTCCACAGTCGATCGGAACGGCCGGAACCCGGACCACGGGAGGCTCTTCGGGTCTCTACTTCAATACACAACCGTTCCTTCGGGGGCACATAAGTGAAGCATGGGGTCTCCAGCTCGACACGTCTGGTCGCAGTCACCATCACTTATAACGTTATTCTCCAACTTCCGCAGTCCGGACTGCAACAGTCGACGTGTCACTCCACTCCGGAGAGGAGTGGAAGAGTAAATCCGCTTCACACATCTCAACCGCCCGCCGCCCTGGGTGTCCGGGAGCGAGGTCTCGGTCGGTCTCGGTCTCCGCTGGCGCTACACATCCGTAGACTCGAAAAGAATCAAACCCGTGAAACTTGGATTGAACAAATTCTTCCTGCCGGGGGGTTCTTATTCAACAGTCTTCAAAATAGCTCTCCACATTTCAATTCGCCAGGGAGCTTGATTCTCCCCGCAGAGGAGCTGAGCTCGAAGAGCTGCGTCGCGAAGTGGCCGTCTCAGCAGACAGCGTTTTGCGTCGGGGAGGACGGCTGCACGAAGACGACGGCGAGCCGCGGTGGTTCGGTTCGGTTTGGTTTTGGTTCAGCATGCTGTACTGTATGCTGTACGAGTCACATGTCACATGCGACCGGTTTCGATGCACAAAGAAAAGGAGAGGGTCATGGGCCATGGGGTGACACAAGCGATTTATCAACACAGCAGCAGGACTATATATAGCTACGATCGAACAACAACACCAACCACCAACAACAAAGTGGCTGAGAACCTAAAGCCACCCATGAACAATCACGAACGGAACCACTAGGAACCCTAAAGCCACCAACCACAAAGACTGAGACGGCCACACCTAAAGCCGCCCGTGTCGCCCGTGTCGATCAGCGGGTGTCACTCCCTTCCGGTCCGTGAAACAGGTCCAAGGCACGGCTGTAGGCTCGAGTCATCCCATCATCCTGAGGTTTCGAAAGAAGAGGGAAGCTGGCTGACAGTCAGTTTCTGTATGGCAAACATGTTGGAAAAGGATTGAAAAGCTGTGTGTTTCTTGTTGGCAGAGTTGGCAGAACAGTGTTTTCATACCGCAAACATATGCACATATATTATGATAATTGATATGATACTAAGATTGATATGATACTAATATGCAAAGTGAAGTGGGATTGATCCTCTTGCTCCGTAAGCTCTGTTAAAAAACGCGGGTACTCCTCATGGTCATACTGGCTGGCACGAAGAACCTCTGGAAAATCATGCTCACGGTTTCACGTCTCAGGGAGCTTAAGGAAACAGTGCGAACCCACCCGCGGCAGCGAAAAACCGACATGGATATCAGAAATGTGGATTTAGAGACATCCTAATCCTAATCATATAATGTTAAAGACAATGCCAAGATCATTCTAGCAACACTACGCAACACTTGTCTGCAGTGAAACACTTAATATGGTCCAGGGTACGTACCTAGTATCATACAAGAACCAACATGAGAGCACACTCCAATACATACACATCATAAATCATAAAATGTTTGTTGTGGTTGGGCAACAAAGTGTTTGAGATGCTCAAGCCGAAAAAACAGCACTTCTTACCACTGACCAGCAGCAACCCACATGTTTGACCTGCACCGTCCCCGCCGAGGCTCTTCGTAGAGCTTGAAGCTGGAGGATGCACCAGGATACAAGTCCAAGGTCAGTACCTCAGCTGACGACGAACGACCTTAGGGCGACATAAGGTGCGGTACTGACGAGGCTATGGCCCCGGACTCCGGAAAGCTAGGAAAGTGGAGAGACAGCTCATGGTTCTTTCATAGTGTAGAGGCACGAATTAGGAGTGGACATATTGAATGAAGCTAATTCAATATTAGCCTAATTCAATTAGTAGGATCGGTCAAACAATATTATGTATATGTTGGGCAAAATTGTTTAAACACGTTGAAGCTGTGACTCATAGTCGTCGCTCATATTATAGTAGCAACACACACACACAAACCAAAAAAAACAACAACAGTTTCAAGTAGCAAACACAAAAGGCTGACATTCTTTGGCTTCACGAGATGCATGAACCCTCTTCTCGCCGAAGAAGTTCAAGAGTGGCCACATTGGAATGATGGCTCCACTGCGAACAAAGACCTTCGCGGCGGCCGGCGGTTTGTATCTTGAGAAAATGGTACAAAAGAGATGAACAAGCACACATTGCTCATGGTTTCCCACAAACCCAAAGCAACATGACGCAAACAATAATACCAAACACATTCCAGGTGGCTGGCATCTCCTGCAGCGGGCAGTGCATTGTTTGGATGCTTGGCCCTTGAAGCCGTCGATTCTCATCGAAGAAGTCAATCCATTCGCCCGTGGGCAGGAGGATGTCTGAGCGTGTGGTGCTATTCTCATAGACCGGCGCCACCTTTGTAAACGTCCCAAACCAAGAAAAGCCTGAAGAACACATAACATTTGAGGATTATGTGCTTTCTGGAAACATGTAGAAGCCATTTTCGGGGTCCTTGCCGCGGCCATGCCGCGGGAGGCTTCCAAACCGCACGAGGTCCGTTGCGTGGGGTTTTGGTGGAGAATTAGAGGGAGAGCTCGCCGTCATAGGGTCAAGCAAGCAAGCCAGCCAGCCAAAGCAAAGCCACGCAAAGCAAAGCCACGCAAAGCAAAGCAAAGCAAAGCCAGCCAAAGCAAAGCAAGCCAAAGTAAAGCAAAGCAAGCAAGCAATGTAGATGATCACAATGAGTTATGTTAGTTGTCAGTTCTCCTGGGTCTTTTGGCGTGCAAATGTTCAGTTGTTACCCACCTGACCAGAGTCCTCCAGAACCACCTGGCGCCACTGGACCGGGCGCGGCACTTCGCCCTTCTGGGCCACCACCACTCAACGGAGTTGAACAACAACACTCCAACGGACCAGGGGGGATTTTTCACTCCACTTCCACCTTCCGGCTTTTCCCATTGGGGATGTATGATGTATGATGTTTCGGGGTGAGACATCGGAGAGATCGGTGTAGCTCCAGCCAGCTCTCCAGCTCCACACGTGGAAATCCACCACTTCCACCTCTTGGTCCGAGAGTCTGTCGGTTCACAAGACAGCTTAGGCGGTGCGAAGAAACAACACATATATATTATAACATATTATACCACAAACAAGGTGTTCTTCCTGTTTCTTTTATCAGTGGTGCTTCAAAGAACATCCGGCGATTGGCAGGTTCAGATTGGTTCAGAAAGCACAAACAACATCCACTAAGAGGCCACAAACACAAGCACCCGTGCATCCACCAACCCATAAACACAAAAACAAACAACAACAACAGCAACAACAACAACAACAACAACAACAAACAACAACAACAACAAACAACAACAAACAACAACAAACAACAACAAACAACA